ACTGTAACAGAGGTAATTATTTATTTCAATGCCTCCGCTAGGAATCGAACCAGGGACCCATGGCTTACCAGTCTGACGTCCAACCAATCGAGCTAAAGAGAAGTTTTCTCTAGCAGAGTGTGTATATTGCGGCTAGTATTTTACCAGGATTGCACTATATTCATTTCTATTTTCACTGAGGGTACACTTTAAATATGAACTTTTGAAAAAAAAATGTCAAAAAAGTATCCAACTTATATTACACTCTTGTTGTCCTGGTGTAGCGAGCAATACAAGGGGGCTTATTGCAGGAGGTAATCAGAAAACCAGGTTATCTGGGGAAAAAACCCGTGGTCGGTTAGGTGACACTTTCCCTTTCCACGTCCAATTGGGAATCAAATCACGTGAATGTTAAGTCGAAATGTGAGTGTGTCACTACTGCGTCACCACTGCGACACCCCACCACCCACTTATATAATTTTTTTTTTACCATGGAGAAAATCGTAGAAATGAAAATGAATTAACTACCCCCATTGCAATGCTTGAGATCTGGATATTTCCCTCCCTGTCAGCCCTTTCTTTCTATGCTTTGTGTTCCATTTGGGTGTCCCTCTTAACATCCATCCCCATGGGAACCTAGTGTGTAGATTGCGATGATGTAAACCTTGTCAAAACAAAACATATACTCTTCAATTGACTGGATGGATTGATGCATCAAACTGAAATGGTTTATCCAGTGAATTCGCCCCGGGCATTAAATGGTTTTGCGTCATACACATTTTTAGGGAAGCATATAGTGTGCCCCTCCGTTTGTCCATCATTCTGTCTGTTCTTTTGTGTCCAGAACATAACTTTACCAAAAGTTCAGCAAGAATCATGAAACTTGGTGTACACATTGATCATACTCAGATGATGTTCAGTGTACAAAATTCTTGGCCCGCAGCCACTTCATTGCAGAGTAATTGCACTTTGTTAAAATATTTTGTGTCCAGTGCATAACTGCTCGCATTTAAACTAAGACAATGAAACTTTGTGTATACATTGGTCACACTAAGACGGGAGCTCACATCCCTGTTACTACAGTGTTATCGCCCTTTGTAAAATTTTGTGCCAAATAAAATTGTTTTCCGGGAGCATTCATCACTTTCACTGATACTCTTGTTAATTTTTGCATGTGAAGGCTTGCAAAAATAAAAACATCAAAAACATTTTTCATAAAATCTCATTGAAAATGAAAAATCATGTAAAAATTTAATTTACTCTAGCTTCTTAATTTTTTGCGAATTATCTTGTTTACTCCAGCAACCTCTAAAGCTTCCTTAATGTTCTTCATTAGAAGCATTTCCATGCCACTGGCTCAAAATAATGATTTTATATTTCTTGGTTATTCAAAAGTCACATTTTAAGATTTTAAATCATTTCACTCCTGTGATGTTGAAATATTGATACTTGACTGACGGACATTCCAATGAGATCACTTGCTCTTTGTGCAGGTGATATAAAAGAACATATACAAAATTTGTATGTTGGAGTGATATTCTGTTAACCTCTAGACTACATTTCAGAAATAAAAAACTAAACACATTTATACATGTATTAATGATCTTTTGTTTAACTTCTTCATGTTTTCATTTATTGTACAATTTACAAGTTGAATACCTTTATCAAATTTCACAACACATATTCTATAATAAGTATAAAATATAGGTATAAAGGCTCTGACTGGTGTCTACAATACAAATACATAACCAGTCATTCATTCACCGTTTTTCTTCTCTTTTTTTTTCATAAACCAGGAATACTGCAAAATCATATTTTTGTGGAGGTTTATTTCAAATGATTTTATAGATACTCTTAATCAAGGACTTCACAAGTCTATGAATCCGTGAACTGTTCATACTAGTTAGATTTCTGGAGTACTTTGCATATCTGAAATACTGAATCCAACAAAAATATCTTCAAAAAAAAAGAAAAAATATTGAAAAAAAAACCCATGAAATTTGTGCTAATTGAAAATACAGGATTTTATAGTAGGCAGTTTTTACAGTATCAATTCTTTATCACAAGGAATATTAAAGTTATGATTTTCTTTTTCACTATGACGAAGGAAGCTTGCATCTGGACTGTTTAACATAATCAGATCTATATGCTGGATCTTTTATGAGTTTGCATTTCATATGGAAATTATGAAACAAAGATTTAAAAAACTAAATTTAAAACCTTTTTTAGGAATATTTGAGAATGCAAAATAACAAATTGTAACTTGTTTCAAAAATATCCAACAGAAATGAACTTAAGACCCATTTTATCACATGATCAATCATACTTGCAAATATTGTAGGAAATGGACATTTCTATGTCAAACTTTATGTCCTTCTACTTCCATATCTATGGTCTCCATTGTTACATCACAATGCAATCTGTGTAACAAGCAATAACATTATGTGGTCACTGATAAAACAAGGCAACCATGTGATAAAAGATAAAGCAATGAAAATATACACCTATATGCTGGAGTATTTTTGAGAAACTACTAACCACTTACTTAACAGAAAATTATTATTAGCAGAGACCGGGAAAAAAAGGTAGTAAAATAAGTAATCTTCATGTGGGAATAATTTTTCATTAATTTAAGTACTCTAAATCTAGGAATTTGTATGTCCATGAACTTATAAACAGAAAAATGTTCACATGAATTACAGTAATGGTGGATTTTGTGAAGATTTATCCATCCATGAAATCAAGTGCTTACAAAATGTGCATTCTTGGAAAATCATGAAACTGGAAACCCCACTGAAATATATTATCTTAAACTATTTCCTTACTTTTACAATTATATTCACTCTTCATAAATTACCCTATTAGGGGAGATATACTGACAATAAGCCCATCCATTAACTTATGTTAGAGATTTTGTTTTAACGTCATGTGGTAATTATAATAATATATAAAGCAAGTCCAATATATCCAATATCAAATACAGCAATTTCAGGAAAATATACACCATTGGACGGATCTTGTAAACAGTGACAAAACTATAGACAATACATCTCTTAAAATTCATTCAAATCAAAATTTTTGATTTTATAAAAAAAAAAAAAAAAAAAAAACTGCAATCTTATGCCGACATTCATACCATACCATATGTACAATATACAAAAAATAATTAGCTCACTGTACATTGTTTTACATGTGACATATCTGGGACGGTTTCTTGTGTTAGTACAAGTGTATCTTGAACTAAACTCCAAATGTACATGGAGAAAATATTGGATGGAACACCAACTTATGCAATCTTCACCTTTTTTACCTATAAACATGAAAATTGGTTAATTTCAAAGCAGTGACTGGAAAGCACTGCTATGATTGGTCAAATGTACAAAGTTACATCACAGTTACACTACTCTTAAATATATTTATATATATTTTTCATATCATCACTGCAGTGAATACCTTCTTATCAAATGGATAAATTTAGCTATTTCACTGAAAATGTAATAAACATACATGTATAAAGGAGCTGAAAAAATCATTTAAAGTCAGAACCTTCAAGCTCCAGGAATTTCAATATATAACATACTAGAACTAGTTACATTGATTTGTGAGCAATGTGCATAGTATGATTTGTTAATTGAGATACTATATATCACAAGTAATTCTACAAAAGAATTAAATCAGTCATAACGAAAAAAAAAATCATCTGGTCATAATTTCTTAAAGGAAAAATCTGTGACTTTCAGTCCGTCAATTCCTGAATAGGTATGTTAATATCATGTCTGCTTCTCTCACAAACTTACGATATAAAGCCTCCATGATTAACAGCTGATCAGGAAAAGTGTTCACAGTTGACAAACATACAAACTAATAAAGCACAGTCTGTATAAAGCTGTTTTTGATTTTGTATCATTTGGAATTAACTCTCTAATAAGTTCGTTGATCCTTTGAGCTATTAACATTCATGTATACCTCTGACTCTGGCCCATTGAAGGACTGGAATGTGTAATCAAAGAATCAGGAATGTAGAAATCTTTCACAAAGCCTCCTCTAACACTTAATATATATTTCATATCTTTGACAACAGAATGAATTATAAATCCATTGAGGTCTTGTCCTTCAAAATACAATCTTTATCCTGTAAACGTATTTAAAGCCTGTGACCTTGAGAGTGGGCCTAGGTTGTTTCAGAGAAAGGTACAAAGTACTTAAGAGTTACGCTTCTCTAAGAGATATTCTTTGAAATCTTCAGGTGTTAACAAAAGGATCATTACTTTGTCCAATTCTATTTTTCATCTCTAATACTACTGGTATTCTGTAATTCTAACACACAACCTACATCTTGACATTTGGCCGAGGACTAAAGTCAAAGTCAATGGTTCTATTTTGGATATGCCATATTTATCCAATAATAAGTCCATGTCTGGTACTAAGTCCATGTTCAGTAACAGGTTAATGCCTGGTTATAAGCCTTTGCCTGGTAAAGAGCATGTCTGGTAATATGCTCGGTCTATCCTTGATCAGTAGAACTACTGCACCAATAAATGATATTCATTGTCCTGTAATAAGCCCACCTCCTGACTTTAAGTCAGAGGTTTGTGTTGACCCTCTGGACTAAGTATAGGATTAACTTAGTATATTTACAAAATGATGATAAAACATGTTTAGAAATAAATAACATGGAATGAAAAATGTGCTGTGTATTTAAAGGTTCCTCTGTTTTTAGTTGATTGTGGAGGTCAGACAATCACTCTGCCCTACTGTCCACTACTAGTCACTTGTAAAATGCTGTAGTTCAATAACTGGTTCTTGTAAATCTGCCTCTATTGGAAGACTCACATACATATGTAGGTTAACCAACCAGACTGTACTATTGTCAGACAAAAGTGGTTAACTGGTTCGTGCCCTCTCAAATGTAATATGGCTGCCCCATGGTAAACCAGACTTGTATACAATGTATTTATACACAATATTGGAAACATCAAATGACCAATAATTTATACAGTATGAAATAACTGTTGCCTTGGTCCACATTTCATCACACAATAGCCAGGAATTCTAGAAGTCTGTATCTACTTCCATGGACAAGACTGGACAGGAGTAAGATAGAACAAAGCTTCTGATTGGCTTATATAAGGAACCTCTCATCTACAAGAGTTTTCTTGGCTAAGTTCTTCTCCCCTCCACTGCGCCTTATAATAGCAATGATCTGTTGAACAAAATAAATGAAATTTTTCAATTATTTCTTTCTCAAATTCCATCATGTGAGCACCTAATCTTTGACATTATCTTGTTCAATGTTGTGTGATTTGTAACAGCATTTTGTTTCGTTTCGTTATTTTTAATTGTGGTTGTATTTCTAATCATTTCCTTATCATTTGTACATTTAATAAGGCACCTAATAAACTATGATACTATAAAATCAATGGTTTTTGTGCAAGTTTTGTTTTTGTGGATGTTAACACATTCATACGTCCATGAAATGATTAAGAAAAAGTTAAGAAAACTTATTATCTTAGCAGTGGTGAATATTGTAAGTACTTTTTAACCATGAAATCAAATGCTGATGGGAAACCATGAAATTTGACTCACCAAAATATACAATAATAAATAAACAGTATGGTATACTTCAATGATATCACAAAGGTTACTTATCTTGATGGCAATATGTTTCTGTGGTAACATACACCCATGGTAACATATGCCCATGGTTATACCTCATATATATCTCTTTGTTAATCTAGAATAGAAGAGAGTGTCTTACCTCTATAATTATATACGTGATGACACCAGCGAGGACAAAGTTGGTAGCAATGAGATCAATGATACAGAAAAGGAGAGTATCAAAGAGCAACAGTGTGCCTTCATTACCGTAGAACAGACAGTTGTCAAATGAATGTCCATCATCTAGAAAACAAACATATGTGTTCAGGGACATCCAAAGGGATTCACATCGGCCATTTATTAGTATTTTTGAGTTTTTGTTGTTTTGACTTTAAATTTTTCATGTGGAAGCAAAACTAATGTATTTTTCCTGAAGATGAAAATCTTCACTGGTTCACCAAAAGCTTGACACATTATTGTCATTGTAATCTTTTGTGGAAATAGTGGAATAACCAATGGTTTCCTTCATTTTCATTATTTTTCACAATGTTGTTTTACTCCAAAAAATGAAAGCCCCTCGATAATTACAAAAGTAGTTTAACAAGGGAGGTAACAAATAATTACCATTATAAAAGATGCCCTTCTCTGAAGCATCAAAGAACTCCGTATCCATGATGCTCTCCATCAATGTTTTGTCCTTAACAACATAGTCCAGATCCTTAAGTGACTGTAAAAACAACATAAAACATTGTAAATAAATATTATCAAATGCACTGAATATCACAACAACATTGTCAATATATATTTATATAGGTGGGCTTATTACCGGGCGTAAGATTAATGCTAGGTAAACACTGCCAGATATCCATTATTTATTTCTATCTGCTGTCAGGTAAAAAGTTGAAATGGTAGTAACAAATGAACCAGGTGGAACAAAGAACAGACATGGATTGGGACCGAGATCGAGGAATGTTCAACTGTTGTTGTGAGATGGGGCCAGTAGTGCCTCTCTAAAACTACCTGGATGACTGTCACAACTTTTCAAAATCCCTATATGAAACAAGATAGGTGTATACATGAGTATGAATATTTTAATGAGATTTAATTCTTTCATACTTCGGTTGTTTTTTCCACAGTCCACACTTTTCCTGATTTTACTGAAAGAATGTATTTGTAATAACTTAAAAAAAAATTTGGTTTTGTTTATCGTATTTTCTAGGGTAATTTTTTTTTGGGGGGATGGGGGAGGGGGTGAACTCCTCAAAAAGGACAGATTTTACAGTATTCTGTGAGAGTAACAATGAAATATACTGATTTTCAGTTTGTTTGTACATTTTTTATGAATTTGCTCTATCTGTTGTTTCCTACACCTGATAAAGAAGCATTGATTTATCGTAGAATACTTCTGTGCCAGATGAACCATTTCAATTATGAAAAAAAAACTTGTTGTTAATGGCCAGTTAACATATCTTGAGAAAGACACTTTACCCAATGTGGTGGGCCTCCTGTATGTTGTACAGTGAGGCAGTCACCAGCTACAAGGAAACTCTATTTCAAAGTGACCCTGACTGTTGACAGGGAGATAAAGACAACAAACAAACAAATCTTGTCTGTACCTTATGGCATTAGTGAAGTTGTTTATCCCCCTACAATGATCTTTTGAACTAGTGACTTACGTGATCTATAAATGCAGATAAGAATCTGTTTATCACTGCATAAGCTTCCACCTGTTTTTCATTTGCAGTGTTCTTTCCCTTTGGTGCACCAACAGCACCGGCATTCTGAAAATAATGAAAGTTATGATAGAAATGTTTTTGTCAGCCAACGAAAGAATGGTGAATACATTTGTATATCACTACATGTACATGTATTGTGTGTCCTGAAAATTCAGGACAATTACATGTTTCTGTAATTTCTTAATCACAATTCCATGACACTATCAGCCACTGTACCTTAGAAAAGGACTCATCCTTTACTTTTTACATGGAAGTAGGATTTCTCTTATATCTTATATATAATATATTGTTTTCCATTCAATATCCTAAGTCTGATTGTTTAATCAATATCCTACTGATTGTTTAACCAATATCCTACTGATTGTTTAACAATATCCTACTGATTGTTTAACCAATATCCTACTGATTGTTTAACAATATCCTACTGATTGTTTAATCCTACTGAATATCCTACTGATTGTTTAACCAATATCCTACTGATTGTTTAACCAATATCCTACTGATTGTTTAACCAATATCCTACTGATTGTTTAATCAATATCCTACTGATTGTTTAATCAATATCCTACTGATTGTTAACCAATATCCTACTGATTGTTTAACCAATATCCTACTGATTGTTACTTATTCAATATCCTAATTGTTTAATCAATAATATCCTACTGATTGTTTAACCAATATCCTACTGATTGTTTAATCAATATCCTACTGATTTGTAAACCACCAATATCCTACTGATTGTTTAACCAATATCCTACTGATTACTTATTCAATATCCTACTGATTGTTTAACCAATATCCTACTGATTACTTATTCAATATCCTACTGATTGTTTAACCAATATCCTACTGATTACTTATTCAATATCCTACTGATTGTTTAATCAATATCCTACTGATTGTTTAACCAATATCCTACTGATTACTTATTCAATATCCTACTGATTGTTTAACCAATATCCTATGATCAATATCCTACTGATTGTTTAATCAATATCCTACTGATTGTTTAACCAATATCCTACTGATTACTTATTCAATATCCTACTGATTGTTTAATCCTAATATCCTACTGATTGTTTAACAATATCCTACTGATTGTTTAACCAATATCCTACTGATTGTTTAATCAATATCCTACTGATTGTTTAATCAATATCCTACTGATTGTTTAACCAATATCCTACTGATTGTTTAATCAATATCCTACTGATTGTTTAACCAATATCCTACTGATTGTTTAACCAATATCCTACTGATTGTTTAACCAATATCCTACTGATTACTTATTCAATATCCTACTGATTGTTTAATCAATATCCTACTGATTGTTTAACCAATATCCTACTGATTGTTTAACCAATATCCTACTGATTGTTTAACCAATATCCTACTGATTGTTTAACCAATATCCTACTGATTACTTATTCAATATCCTACTGTTTAACCAATATCCTACTGATTACTTATTCAATATCCTACTATCCTACTGATTGTTTAACCAATATCAATATGATTGTTTAACCAATATCCTACTGATTACTTATTCTGATTGTTTAACCAATATCCTACTGATTGTTTAACTTAATATCCTACTGATTGTTTAACCAATATCCTACTGATTGTTTATTCAATATCCTACTGATAATATCCTCAATATCCTACTGTTTAACCAATATCCTACTGATTGTTTAACAATAATATCAATATCCTACTGATTGTTTAACCAATATCCTACTGATTGTTTAACCAATATCCTAATTGTTTAATCCTACTGATTGTTTAATCAATATCCTACTGATTGTTTAACCAATATCCTACTTGTTTAACCAATATCCTACTGATTAACCAATATCCTACTGATTGTTTAACCAATATCCTACTGATATTCAATATCCTACTGATTGTTTAATATCCTAATATCCTACTGATTGTTTAACCAATATCCTACTGATTGTTTAACCAATATCCTACTATTGTTTAACCAATATCCTACTGATTGTTTAACCAATATCCTACTGATTACTTATTCAATATCCTACTTTTCAATATCCTACTGATTGTTTAACAATATCCTACTGATTGTTTAACCAATATCCTACTGATTGTTTAATTATTCAATATCCTACTGATTGTTACTGATTGTTTACCAATATCCTACTGATTGTTTAATCAATATCCTACTGATTGTTTAACCAATATCCTACTGATTGTTTAACCACCAATATCCTACTGATTGTTTAACCAATATCCTACTGATTGTTTAACCAATATCCTACTGAATATCCTCTGATTGTTTAATCAATATCCTACTGATTACTGATTACTTATTGTTTAACCAATATCCTACTGATTACTTATTCCAATATCCTACTGATTGTTTAACCAATATCCTACTGATTGTTTAACCAATATCCTACTGATTACTTATTCAATATCCTACTGATTGTTTAACCAATATCCTAATTGTTTAACCAATATCCTACTGATTACTTGGTTTAATAAACAATATCCTACTGATGATTGTTTAAAATACCTACTCAATATCCTATTCAATATCCTACTGATTGTTTAACCAATATCCTACTGATTGTTTAACCAATATCCTACTGATTAACAATACAAACAAATCTTGTTATTCCAATATCCTACTGATCTTTTAACTACTGATTGTTTAACTTAAATATCCTACTGATTGTTTAACCAATATCCTACTGATCCTGTTTAACTGATTGTTTAACAATATCCTACTGATTGTTTAATCAATAGCAATATCCTACTGATTGTTTAACCAATATCCTACTGATTACTTATTCAATATACTGATGTTTAAAATATTACTTATTCAATATCCTTGATTGTTTAATCAATATCCTACTGATTGTTTTGTAATCCTAATATCCTGTGTGTACTTATTCAATATCCTACTGATTGTTTAATCAATTACATGTTTAACCAATGTATTTTTAACCAATATGATTGTTTACTATCAATATCCACTGATTGTTTAAATAAGGTTTACCAATATCCTACTGATTACTTATTCAATATCATGGTTTAAGTATCCTACTGATTGTTTAACTTATATCCTATATATAATATATTGTTTAATCAATATCCTACTGATTGTTTAACCAATATCCTACTGAATTATGAAATAAATTGTTTAACAATATCCTACTGATTAGGCTATATGCAATATCCTACTGATTGTTTAATCAATATCCTACTGATTACTTATTCAATATCCTACTGATTGTTTAATCAATATCCTACTGATTGTTTAATCAATATCCTACTGATTGTTTAACCAATATCCTACTGATTGTTTAACTAATATCCTACTGATTGTTTAACCAATATCCTACTGATTGTTTAATCAATATCCTACTGATTGTTTAACCAATATCCTACTGATTGTTTATTCAATATCCTACTGATTACTTATTCAATATCCTACTGATTGTTTAACCAATATCCTACTGATTGTTTAACCAATATCCTACTGATTGTTTAACCAATATCCTACTGATTACTTATTCAATATCCTACTGATTACTTATTCAATATCCTACTATTCAATATCCTTATTCAATATCCTACTGATTGTTTAATCAATATCCTACTGATTACTTATTCAATATCCTACTGATTACTTATTCAATATCCTACTGATTGTTTAACCAATATCCTACTGATTGTTTAACCAATATCCTACTGATCGTATGAAATGAAAGAATTTCAGAAAACTTCACTAAAAGAGATGATTTTATTGAAAGACCTTGGCATAATCAACATAACTTTACCTCTAATGCGACAGGTAGCATCACCTGTTCGTACTTCAGACGCAGTTTTCGTGGCAGTGACATCATAAATGTCTGGTTGTCAGTGTTCGGCACCAAACCTCTCTGACCACATAGATCTTCCTGCAAAACATCAGAGTCAAGGTCATAATATAGGTTACAGTCAAAGGGAAGATTTCTAATGATCACTGGGGTCATGGGGGTCATGGAAACAATACAAAACTTCCACCAGTAAAATACAATTAATGGATACTGGAGAAAATCTTTTGGAGTCCAACTCCTGACCAGAGTGTTAGTGAAACTGATGATTGCCTCTTGAAAACAAAACATTTGACATAACATTTTAAGAAAGAGCAATAATTCGGTTTGAGGTAATGAATCTCATACGGTGTACATCCTTTAAGTATGAACAATGTATAAATCAAACTACATTATCCTAGTTCAATGAAATCAAAGTTATGATACAGACATAAACTTTTAACAAAGTGCTCTAACTCTGTTATTCAGGAGTTGCAGGCCTTGAATTTTTCATGGAGCTTAAAAATAGTTACAGACAATGAGACAAGGTCAAAGACATCATTACAATTTCTCTGACACCATAACAAGTCCACAGACACAATCACAAAGACAGGTCATAGAGACACAGTAAGAGACATGAAGACATGGTCACAGACACCAAGACATGGTCACAAACACAAAAACACAGTCACAGACACTAAGACAGGGTCACAGACACAGAGACACAGTCAAAAAGAGAGAGACCAGTTTTTAAATCATTTAATCATATGATCAATAAGCCATTGACAAACCTCCTCTCTCTTCATCATCTCGAACATCTCCTTCATGTTGGTGTCAGCTCGACCGTGGACAGATCGGCCATGAATGTAGTATCCAAACTGGGCATGGGCCATCACAAACACACTGATGTTACTCATAGAACACAAGTCTACAAACTGGCGAATTGCGTCCTCTACAAACCGCTCGTAAATAAATGTAAAGAATATCCACTGCACCACTCCTGTTCATAACAACAAAGATACAGAGTAAACTCTTTCAACAGCACATCTTATATTCAGATAGATCTTAATCAGGAAATAATATCTATGCAAAACTTTTCATGGGTGACAATGAGAACACAGATCAAAGGTGTGAGATTCCATGTGAAAGGAGGCATAAAGATACCTGCTTACCTTTTTGTTATACTACCTTATTGTTACACTTAAGGTAGTATACTACCTTACTATTATACTTAAGGAGGTAAGCTACCTTAGTGTTATACTTAAGGTAGTATACTACCTTACTATTATACTTAAAGAGGTATGCTACCTTAGTGTTTAACTTTATTAACTTTATTAAGGGGATATGTCACTTTTCTGTTATTCTTATGAGGATATGCTACCTTACTGTTATACCATATTATTATTTGCTATACTTAAGGGAATATGTGTGACCTTACCATTATATTTAGGGGGGTATGCTATCTTACAGTATATTAATATACTTTAGGAAATATGCTACTTTACTAGTAACATAAGGTGGTATGCATCTTAACTTAAGAGATGACCTATAACCTGTATACATTTCAATCCATATTTAACTGGATTCACTTTGCTGTTTGCATTAACCTAAAATAAAACTCTTAGTACATTTCGCTGTATACATACCGACAATGAGATAGACAGAACCAGCAATTCCATATCTGAACATGGTACTCATGGCAGCCATATACTCTGTTGAGTCCTTGATTACACTGCCATTGGGATCTTTTGTAGCCACATTTTCAAAACCCACAACATACAGGAAAAACACTACTGCAAAAATCTGGAAAATATGGTTCACTTTTCTGGTAGTCTGAATTTCATTCCATTCATTAGCTACAAAGTAGGTGCGCCATATTGATACACTGCCTGTGGGTTTTTTGCTGTCTGTGACCTGTCCTGCACCCCTTGGGCGCTCCCAGTCAATAAAGAATACATCAGCTGTGCATTGGATGACAATCAGGTGCACTATCTGTAAGGCTTTCAAAGCAAATGCTGAACCAAACAATGCCAACCATTCCTCTTCTGCCAAGTCACGCAGATGAAATAGGAATAAAACATCCTGGTCCTGATGACACAAAACAACAATCAATCTTATAAATAGTCATTAAAAAAGAACTTTTAAACATAATAAATAAACACATTGTATATAATACAAATGTATAAATTAATTCATAAAAACGCATCACATACAAAAAAAACCTTATACATTATTTCATCCAATTCAAGCTTATCAAAGACCTCCATACACACATATATTTTCTAATCAATTCAAGCCAATGAAAATTGTGGAAATTAATATGTGTGATGACCTCATGGAATTTAGCATAGATGTTCTTTTTTATAAACACATCCACTCCTATTTATACATCTATACGAACCTTGTAGAAGACAAGGAAGTAAAAAGCAATGCCAAATGAGATGATGAAGAAGACATTTGCAAGAGACCCAGCTGCAAAGAAGATAAAATTGAGGATAGTTCCAAAATCTATGGCAAGTTTGCCGGCTCTTTTGGACCAAACCCAGGCTCTGTACCCTGCATATAGTACACCAAGTGTGGACAGGGTGCCTGTAGCAATCTGAAAGTCTCGCCGAAATTTGATCTGAGTCATCCAGTATGTGACGGTGAAGGTTGGCTGTTAAAATAAAATTTAATACATAATAAACAAATAAATACAGAAAGTATATATCATTACTTAATACCAAATTCATACAAAAACTTAAAGAAAAACAATGTGTTTCTAAACGTGTAAAGTGTGACATCTGACTGTTTAACCTTCATCAATGAGCGCTGATATCTAATCAAGTAAAGATCCAGATTCTACATCAAAGTTGTAAATAGCTTATATTTCAAAAGTAGTCAAATGTGACCTTTGACCCTTCAACCTTGACCAATGACCACCAGAATCTTCATGTGCAGAACTTGATGATATGATACTATGGTGCACATAAAACAAAATCAGTTGAAGGTTTAAGTATTTATCTTATTCTTGGGATTTTTGCTACTGACAAACAGGAAGACACACATGAAAGCAATTTAATGTTTGATTTCCTTACTGAGAGAGGGTATAATCTCTGGTGAATTTTTGAAAGTGATATGTGGTATTCTATTACTGGATTCCAGCAAACTATTCCCTGCTCAAGTAGTAGAATCTTTGTACAGTGAACTCATAGATTTTCATATCAAAACAGTCAAAATTAAATGTAATGTTAAATTTGTACTTACAGAAATAGTTGCCCCTTCGTTCGCACTTGTAAGGGAGACTTGATCATACTCAATGTTGAAGTAGGGCGGGTATATAGTACCATCTCCTGTTTCTGTCAGTCGAACAATTATCTCGATACTCTTCACATATCTCACATACTCTGGTGGAGAAACTGTCACAAAAAAATAAATAATCATCAACCATATAAAATTAACGTGTACAGCAGTTTAATTGTACCATTGATGCAGTAATGACAAAAACTAACAATGTCATGAATTCTTTTTTGTCTATTGAAGTCGATCAATACATGCTTGTCGCCTTCTTTATTTGTAGATTTTTTTGTACAAGAGATGAAGCTTTTATTTAATATCATAAACAACTGTATGAATTAATCTTGGAAAAATATACATTTGTAAAGAAAGGGAAAAATCTAACAATTCAAACAAGGGTTATAGGATATTCAGAAATTTGATACAATAATGTCCTTCTGATTGTTTGAACATCACAGTATGCAGTCAAAAAAACAAGTATCAGTGAAATTAATCAACGCTCCCTGAAAATGACTTAATTGGGCACAAAAATTTTATCAAATGGCAATAGTTCTGTAATTAAGAAGTTGCAGGCCCTGAATTAGGTATACTGTACATTCTCTCCGTATGACCAATGTATACACCAAGTTTCAACTAAATTATGAAAAATAGAGTTATGGTTAGTATACACTGCATTTCTTCTTATTGAAATCTATCTACCTATGAAATTTCATGATGATAGTTTTGTGATATGCTCTGGACAAAATTAAGAGGTACGGATGGATGAACAGACAAACAGATGGACAAGGCAGGGATCATATGCTTTTCCTTTGGGGAGCATAAAAACTCACATTCATTTAAGCACATACACCATGTAATGATGAACGGCCACTCAAGTGAAATTGATTTTATCATCAAATGATACACAAATAATAATGATTTGATTATCAAACGACACTCAAGTAAAACAGGAAATGCCAACTGCTACACATACATTTTTATCACCCATGTTTTCACATTTTTATCACCCATGTTTTCACAAAACTCACGAAAATTCTTTAACTTTTCCATTTGAATATGAAACATTACAATGATGTGTATGATACACAGGTGCTGTGATGGTACACTACATACAAAGTTAGTTACCTGGTCCTGAGGCTACATTGTCCACCAAGAAGAATCGCCTCACCAGCTGCCAGTCCTGAGCATCAGATCCTACAAAATATTTAAAAGGTTTATCAACTGTTTTCTCAATCCAAAGTTGTCAAATGTGACCTTTGACCATTTAAACTTGACAACCTTATTATGATAAGATGAACAACTTGGTGTTACAATACTATGGGGTTCATATCAACATAAAATCTACTGAGATTATTTTATGATATAATATGATTTGGCATGAGACAGAACCCAACAAGATGTATTATTATTGTCCACAATGACAATTCTATTTAGGAAAAGTAAAGATATCTGAGAATCCTTGTACTTACCTGTATTAACTGAGCTACCACTGCTAACATAGTTTAGTATTCTCAAAGGAGTTCTATACATCTGTTCTGCATCATTTCTCGTAAACTTCAGGTCTAGTTGTTGGTTAAGAAGTATAAAAAATTGGCTTAATTTATTCTTTAAATCAAAACCTGTCAACAACCTGCAAGAGATTTCAAGCTTTCAAGGATCGGACTTGTAAAGTACACAGATGTGAGGATCTTACCCACCCGAGGACTTCAGGTTTTGTTTAGGAGTAAGGGCTCTGCCAGTAAAACATCTTACCCACCCGAGGACTTCAGGTTTTGTTTAGGAGTAAGGGCTCTTCCAGTAAAACATCTTACCCACCCGAGGACTTCAGGTTTTGTTTAGGAGTAAGGGCTCTGCCAGTAAAACATCTTACCCACCCGAGGACTTCAGGTTTTGTTTAGGAGTAAGGACTATTCCAGTAAAACATCTTACCCACCCGAGGACTTCAGGTTTTGTTTATAGGAGTAAGGGCTCTTCCAGTAAAACATCTTACCCACCCGAGGACTTCAGGTTTTGTTTAGGAGTAAGGGCTCTTCCAGTAAAACATCTTACCCACCCGAGGACTTCAGGTTTTGTTTAGGAGTAAGGGCTCTTCCAGTAAAACATCTTACCCACCCGAGGACTTCAGGTTTTGTTTAGGAGTAAGGGGACTCTTCCAGTAAAACATCTTACCCACCCGAGGACTTTTTGTTTAGGAGTAAGGTCAGGTTTTGTTTAGGAGTAAGGGCTCTTCCAGTAAAACATCTTACCCACCCGAGGACTTCAGGTTTTGTTTAGGAGTAAGGACTATTCCAGTAAAACATCTTACCCATCCTTGGACTTCAGGTTTTGTTTAGGAGTAAGGGCTCTTCCAGTAAAACATCTTACCCACCCGAGGACTTCAGGTTTTGTTTAGGAGTAAGGGCTCTTCCAGTAAAACATCTTACCCACCCGAGGACTTCAGGTTTTGTTTAGGAGTAAGGACTATTCCAGTAAAACATCTTACCCACCCGAGGACTTCAGGTTTTGTTTAGGAGTAAGGACTATTCCAGTAAAACATCTTACCCACCCGAGGACTTCAGGTTTTTGTTTAGGAGTAAGGGCTCTTCCAGTAAAACATCTTACCCACCCGAGGACTTCAGGTTTTGTTTAGGAGTAAGGGCTCTGCCAGTAAAACATCTTACCCACCCGAGGACTTCAGGTTTTGTTTAGGAGTAAGGACTATTCCAGTAAAACATCTTACCCACCCGAGGACTTCAGGTTTTGTTTAGGAGTAAGGGCTCTTCCAGTAAAACATCTTACCCACCCGAGGACTTCAGGTTTTGTTTAGGAGTAAGGGCTCTTCCAGTAAAACATCTTACCCACCCGAGGACTTCAGGTTTTGTTTAGGAGTAAGGGCTCTTCCAGTAAAACATCTTACCCACCCGAGGACTTCAGGTTTTGTTTAGGAGTAAGGGCTATTCCAGTAAAACATCTTACCCACCCGAGGACTTCAGGTTTTGTTTAGGAGTAAGGGCTCTTCCAGGAGGACTTCAGGTTTTGTTTAGGAGTAAGGGCTATTCCAGTAAAACATCTTACCCACCCGAGGACTTCAGGTTTTGTTTAGGAGTAAGGGCTCTTCCAGTAAAACATCTTACCCACCCGAGGACTTCAGGTTTTGTTTAGGAGTAAGGACTCTGCCAGTAAAACATCTTACCCACCCGAGGACTTCAGGTTTTGTTTAGGAGTAAGGGCTCTTCCAGTAAAACATCTTACCCACCCGAGGACTTCAGGTTTTGTTTAGGAGTAAGGGCTCTTCCAGTAAAACATCTTACCCACCCGAGGACTTCAGGTTTTGTTTAGGAGTAAGGGCTCTGCCAGTAAAACATCTTACCCACCCTTGGACTTCAGGTTTTGTTTAGGAGTAAGGGCTCTGCCAGTAAAACATCTTACCCACCCGAGGACTTCAGGTTTTGTTTAGGAGTAAGGTCTATTCCAGTAAAACATCTTACCCACCCGAGGACTTCAGGTTTTGTTTAGGAGTAAGGGCTCTTCCAGTAAAACATCTTACCCACCCGAGGACTTCAGGTTTTGTTTAGGAGTAAGGGCTCTTCCAGTAAAACATCTTACCCACCCGAGGACTTCAGGTTTTGTTTAGGAGTAAGGACTATTCCAGTAAAACATCTTACCCACCCGAGGACTTCAGGTTTTGTTTAGGAGTAAGGGCTCTTCCAGTAAAACATCTTACCCACCCGAGGACTTCAGGTTTTGTTTAGGAGTAAGGGACTTCAGGTTTTGTTTAGGAGTAAGGGCTCTTCCAGTAAAACATCTTACCCACCCGAGGACTTCAGGTTTTGTTTAGGAGTAAGGGCTCTTCCAGTAAAACATCTTACCCACCCGAGGACTTCAGGTTTTGTTTAGGAGTAAGGGCTCTTCCAGTAAAACATCTTACCCACCCGAGGACTTCAGGTTTTGTTTAGGAGTAAGGGCTCTTCCAGTAAAACATCTTACCCACCCGAGGACTTCAGGTTTTGTTTAGGAGTAAGGGCTCTTCCAGTAAAACATCTTACCCACCCGAGGACTTCAGGTTTTGTTTAGGAGTAAGGGCTCTTCCAGTAAAACATCTTACCCACCCGAGGACTTCAGGTTTTATCTAGAGCTAATGGCTATTCCAGTAAAACATCTGATTCACCCTAGGACTTCAGGTTTTATCTAGAGCTAATGGCTATTCCAGTAAAACATCTAACTCTCCCTTGGACTCCAGGTTTTGTTTAGGAGTAAGGGCTCTTCCAGTAAAACATCTTACCCACCCGAGGACTTCAGGTTTTGTTTAGGAGTAAGGGCTATTCCAGTAAAACATCTTACCCACCCGAGGACTTCAGGTTTTGTTTAGGAGTAAGGGCTCTTCCAGTAAAACATCTTACCCACCCGAGGACTTCAGGTTTTGTTTAGGAGTAAGGGCTCTTCCAGTAAAACATCTTACCCACCCGAGGACTTCAGGTTTTGTTTAGGAGTAAGGGCTCTTCCAGTAAAACATCTTACCCACCCGAGGACTTCAGGTTTTGTTTAGGAGTAAGGGCTCTTCCAGTAAAACATCTTACCCACCCGAGGACTTCAGGTTTTGTTTAGGAGTAAGGGCTCTTCCAGTAAAACATCTTACCCACCCGAGGACTTCAGGTTTTGTTTAGGAGTAAGGGCTCTTCCAGTAAAACATCTTACCCACCCGAGGACTTCAGGTTTTGTTTAGGAGTAAGGGCTCTTCCAGTAAAACATCTTACCCACCCGAGGACTTCAGGTTTTGTTTAGGAGTAAGGGCTCTTCCAGTAAAACATCTTACCCACCCGAGGACTTCAGGTTTTGTTTAGGAGTAAGGACTATTCCAGTAAAACATCTTACCCACCCGAGGACTTCAGGTTTTGTTTAGGAGTAAGGGCTCTTCCAGTAAAACATCTTATTCAGGTTTTGTTTAGGAGTAAGGGCTCTTCCAGTAAAACATCTTACCCACCCGAGGACTTCAGGTTTTGTTTAGGAGTAAGGGCTCTTCCAGTAAAACATCTTACCCACCCGAGGACTTCAGGTTTTGTTTAGGAGTAAGGGCTCTTCCAGTAAAACATCTTACCCACCCGAGGACTTCAGGTTTTGTTTAGGAGTAAGGGCTCTTCCAGTAAAACATCTTACCCACCCGAGGACTTCAGGTTTTGTTTAGGAGTAAGGACTATTCCAGTAAAACATCTTACCCATCCTAGGACTTCAGGTTTTGTTTAGGAGTAAGGGCTCTTCCAGTAAAACATCTTACCCACCCGAGGACTTCAGGTTTTGTTTAGGAGTAAGGACTCTTCCAGTAAAACATCTTACCCACCCGAGGACTTCAGGTTTTGTTTAGGAGTAAGGGCTCTTCCAGTAAAACATCTTACCCACCCGAGGACTTCAGGACTTCAGGTTTTGTTTTGTTTAGAGTAAGGGCTCTTCCAGTAAAACATCTTACCCACCCGAGGACTTCAGGTTTTGTTTAGGAGTAAGGGCTCTTCCAGTAAAACATCTTACCCACCCGAGGACTTCAGGTTTTGTTTAGGAGTAAGGGCTCTTCCAGTAAAACATCTTACCCACCCGAGGACTTCAGGTTTTGTTTAGGAGTAAGGGCTCTTCCAGTAAAACATCTTACCCACCCGAGGACTTCAGGTTTTGTTTAGGAGTAAGGGCTCTTCCAGTAAAACATCTTACCCACCCGAGGACTTCAGGTTTTGTTTATTTGTAAGGGCTCTTCCAGTAAAACATCTTACCCACCCGGGACTTCTTTTGTTTAGGAGTAAGGACTATTCCAGTAAAACATCTTACCCACCCGAGGACTTCAGGTTTTGTTTAGGAGTAAGGGCTCTTCCAGTAAAACATCTTACCCACCCGAGGACTTCAGGTTTTGTTTAGGAGTAAGGGCTCTTCCAGTAAAACATCTTACCCACCCGAGGACTTCAGGTTTTGTTTAGGAGTAAGGACTATTCCAGTAAAACATCTTACCCACCCGAGGACTTCAGGTTTTGTTTAGGAGTAAGGGCTCTTCCAGTAAAACATCTTACCCACCCGAGGACTTCAGGTTTTGTTTAGGAGTAAGGGCTCTTCCAGTAAAACATCTTACCCACCCGAGGACTTCAGGTTTTGTTTAGGAGTAAGGGCTCTTCCAGTAAAACATCTTACCCACCCGAGGACTTCAGGTTTTGTTTAGGAGTAAGGGCTCTTCCAGTAAAACATCTTACCCACCCGAGGACTTCAGGTTTTGTTTAGGAGTAAGGACTATTCCAGTAAAACATCTTACCCACCCGAGGACTTCAGGTTTTGTTTAGGAGTAAGGGCTCTTCCAGTAAAACATCTTACCCACCCGAGGACTTCAGGTTTTGTTTAGGAGTAAGGACTATTCCAGTAAAACATCTTACCCACCCGAGGACTTCAGGTTTTGTTTAGGAGTAAGGGCTCTTCCAGTAAAACATCTTACCCACCCGAGGACTTCAGGTTTTGTTTAGGAGTAAGGGCTCTTCCAGTAAAACATCTTACCCACCCGAGGACTTCAGGTTTTGTTTAGGAGTAAGGACAGGTTTTGGTTTTGTTTAGGAGTAAGGGCTCTTCCAGTAAAACATCTTACCCACCCGAGGACTTCAGGTTTTGTTTAGGAGTAAGGGCTCTTCCAGTAAAACATCTTACCCACCCGAGGACTTCAGGTTTTGTTTAGGAGTAAGGGCTCTGCCAGTAAAACATCTTACCCACCCGAGTACTTCAGGTTTTGTTTAGGAGTAAGGGCTATTCCAGTAAAACATCTTACCCACCCGAGGACTTCAGGTTTTGTTTAGGAGTAAGGGCTCTTCCAGTAAAACATCTTACCCACCCGAGGACTTCAGGTTTTGTTTAGGACCCGAGGACTTCAGGTTTTGTTTAGGAGTAAGGGCTCTTCCAGTAAAACATCTTACCCACCCGAGGACTTCAGGTTTTGTTTAGGAGTAAGGGCTATTCCAGTAAAACATCTTACCCACCCGAGGACTTCAGGTTTTGTTTAGGAGTAAGGGCTCTTCCAAAAACATCTTACCCACCCGAGGACTTCTTTTGTTTAGGAGTAAGGACTATTCCATTCCCCACCCGAGGACTTCAGGTTTTGTTTAAACTATTCCAGTAAAACATCTTACCCACCCGAGGACTTCAGGTTTTGTTTAGGAGTAAGGGCTCTTCCAGTAAAACATCTTACCCACCCGAGGACTTCAGGTTTTGTTTAGGAGTAAGGACTATTCCAGTAAAACATCTTACCCACCCGAGGACTTCAGGTTTTGTTTAGGAGTAAGGACTATTCCAGTAAAACATCTTACCCACCCGAGGACTTCAGGTTTTGTTTAGGAGTAAGGGCTCTTCCAGTAAAACATCTTACCCACCCGAGGACTTCAGGTTTTGTTTAGGAGTAAGGACTATTCCAGTAAAACATCTTACCCACCCGAGGACTTCAGGTTTTGTTTAGGAGTAAGGGCTCTTCCAGTAAATAGCTACAACTTACCGACTGTGAGTAATATGTTCCAAATGTGTAAGCTGCGTCTAGTCGTTTTGTTGTGTCAGTACAGAGCTGTAAAAGGCCGCCAGTGACCGGTGACACACCCAGGAATTCTCCATTAATTGTATAACGGGCCACATAGAAGTTAAGGTAGGACACTGGACTAAAGGTGTACACTGTGGTCTGTGACGTGTCTTCCAATATTCTGTCCCCATTTCCTTCCTCATAGTACAGCATAGGCAAACTCTCAGGCCTAATCAGCATCAATAAGGAAATCACAATAACCAATCAGAACTCTCAACCAATCAAAATAAACAACCAATCAGAACTATTTACTAGTCAGAATCAATAACCAATTAAATCAATAATCAATCAGCATTTAACAGCTTCTGATATACAGAGAAACATTTGTTCTATGTTTCTTCAAACTTTGTACAAAACTTAATCTTCATCAAATATTAAATCCATCCTTTATGCCATAAACATACATTTTAGTTTCAAAGTAAAACTTTATAAAACATTTTGTTTGAAGTCTATAGGCAAAGGGGCAAAACAGGATCAAGCTACACTTAAGTGGCAGTTTTCCTGTATACTAGGGAAGGGAAATCAATTAAAATCAATAAATGATTATTACATAAATGGCTGACTGTGTGACTCAATATTCATAGAGAGTGAATGCATTCTCTACTGCAGTAATATTTCTATGTGCTTTTTGTAAGTATTATCTAACACATCTTGCTTATCTAGACTTTGTACAAGAGTGAATATTATTGGCAACTGGCATAATAAGACTTGTTTCTGCTAAAACACAAGAAAATAAAACGGCACCGATGATTATTATAAAAATTACAACTGATCATTTCATCTGGTGAGATTAAACTATTAGATAACTGACAGCCTCTGCTGAGCTGGTATAAGATAGACTGAATGAGGGGATACCTACGTGTTTGCCTCTATCTCCTTGTACATGTTACAGGCTCGGTTGGCATTTGTCCCATCAAACTCGTACCATGTAAGGGCACACAGGTTACTCAGAATGATGCAGGCAGTTGAATTTTGTTTTGACTAAAATTACAAAAAAAATCTGCTTATCAAACACTTCAACCTTACCAGTGATAAATGAAAGATATCTTAGAACACAATATTTATTCAGTGATGCCTGGTAATAAATCCTGTTAGCAGTACAGCTCTCAACTACCTGTAATGGTTTTTCATCATTCTGTACATAATAAACTGACCCCCTGACTTTCCGACCCCTGGACTCTACCCTGGTCTAATACACATCTATATACTTCATCTTCAACTGTTTTTTATGAGAATATGTTTTAAATGAAGCTCCTAAAACAATACGTACTTTGTTACTTATATTTTCAGGGGACTGAATTTCACTATAATCATAATTATTACAGACAACCTGAAATCAAATACCTAACAAACATTTTACAAAAAATTAAAACAAAAAAGATGTGTTATACCTGTATACATTGATACAAATTGATAGACAAACTTGATATTAAATGTCCCTGAAGTGGCTGAAACCAGGTGATCATGAAATTTGTGCTCCACAGAATTAAACAGAATTAGTGTATGCTGTGAATCCTATTATAGTTGAGGGTTTTTATTTTCATTTTTTTTTTTTGATATCTGCAAAAAGCAAGCAAAAATTAAAAGTTTGGTTACATTTTCAGTTTTGTATCATATGCTAATTGGTCAACATCCAGTCATATGTTATTCTATTTCACATCAAATTGTACTCTGTGACAGTAATTAAACATTTTATTGCACACTCATGGAAGTGTTCTGTGATGTCGCATAATTTCTGCAAATAAAATTTGTTGGACACATGTCTGCCACGTTGCATGACAATGCAATACAATGTTTTATAAAAAATGCTGTGTTGAAAAGTATGGAATAAGACGCAATATAGATGACATTGGAGTCTATCATCAGCATTCAGTTCTCTTGTTTTAGATGTTATTAAATACTTATGGCCTTTTGTTTTGATTGATATGAGAATTTGATGAGGTAGAATATATCATATAAAAGACTCATACAGGCCATTTGATTGATTTCTGTGAAAAAACACCCTTTTGTTTCAACCTTATGGTAAAGTTTTAAGAAATCGGATCAATATAATAAAGTCCAATAACTCCTCTATAACAATACTGTACCTGACACATGGTGTAAGCTGCCTCCAAATGCTCACTTAAGTAAAGTGATGCCACATCTCCACTCTGTTCAACAACAAAAATTTTCTTTAGAACTAATCGACACCTTAGAGAAGACACCCACACATCAATGTTAGTGAAAGTTATACGACAATATGGGGCTGGTTACACTAAGAGAGAGAAATTTAACCAGGGTGCTAATTTTCATCAATATATCTACAATTCAATACTACATTAAACATGTCAGCAAGTTCAGGGAAAAATTAATTTCTTTCATTTCTTTAGTTGTAGAAGACATATTTAGACTTTGGGACTTACTGTTAGAGGTACATTGAAGTCAGGGGTGATGGTAGAGGCGAAACACAATCCTCCTTTCTGTAAATAAAATAACATAAATATCAAAACATCATTTAAGAAAAAAAAATGATGAAATATTTTCAACTTTTCCCAAAATACTGAATATGAATTACGGTGCTTTAATTCATCATGTCTACTGATAAACTATACTGATAAAATTATAATATCATTCAATTTACCCCTAAAACTTCCGTTGTTCTAAAAGGATTATGAAGAATGGAACCTTATATTGAATCTTAACCATGGCTTTCATGTTAAAATGTCATGATAGCAATTAATATTAATAGTTCTAAGCCACGATCCATTATCCTTCAAAACTGACAGAGCCTAAAAGGACCAAAGAGGGTTTCTTTTTAACTTCTCCCCTAATATCAAACAATTCAGAAAGACAAAAGTTGAAAAAGACCTTTTTACAATGTAATTGTCAATTGTACATGTATTTGTGCAGAGATCTTTAAACACACCTGGTGTACGACAGGACATAATTATCAGCGGTATGGAAAAATATTTTAAACCATTAGGCACAGGACTAGTGGACTGAAAATTTTACTTGTCCGGATTGGAAATTTACTCGTCCAAATTCAGCCATGAAATGGCAACTTAATCAGCGAGGATGTGACATTTTTTCTATTTTTATTTTAAGTTTTAGTGAAAAAAACTATGCAGTGACTGCTGCTTTGCGTCAGACATTGTGTGCTACTTAGGCCTATCTGTAGAGTTTGTTTATATCCTACTGACTAGGTGCTGTTAAGTACAGACCGGTACATGTTGGTACCGCCCGAGAGCACCTGCTGCTTTGCGTCAGACATTGTGTGCTACTTAGGCCTATCTGTAGAGTTTGTTTATATCCTACTGACTAGGTGCTGTTAAATACAGACCGGTACATGTTGGTACCGCCCGAGAGCACCTGACATTAGTACGACCGTGGTAAAATGACTAACGTACTTCAAATGCTATATTTGACTTCATGGGAGTTCCGGTGTAATCAAAAGTTAGAGTGCAGACTGGAATATTTTGTTTTCGAAGTACCGTAAACATGTTTCTTTGTTTCAAATTTTCTTTACATTTTTAGTAATATTAATTTCATTGGAAAAAAGTACTCGTCCAACGGACGACTGGCAAAGATAAGTCTGGTTGTCCGAGACAATTTTCACTCGTCCATGACGACTGGACGAGTGCTTTTCCAAACCCCTAAATTATCCTGAAATATTTTTTCATCATTTATTACATTTTTCTAACATTGTTTCCTTATTTCCACCTATTTATGGTTCTATTTTCATTTTCCAACCATTTTTTCAACCATATAATTTTTTCATAAAGCATAAAAAAAACAATTTGGAGAAAAATGTAGAATGTAATCTTAAACGCTTTTAAATAGGTGTTTTATTGCAGAAATCTAGAAGCACTCTGGATTGGTGAAAAAACACCTTCTTTTTAGTTGACACTACCCAAACTGTAACAGATACTGATCTATAAGGAGTGTTGGGCAGGGTAAGACCACTCTTGACTAGAGTAATATGTTACAGTGACCTCATGATATTGTTAACTATCAATACTACAGTAATGTGTTACAGTGACCTCATGATACTGTTAACTATCAATACTATGGTAATGTGTTACAGTGACCTCATGATACCGTTAACTATCAATACTATGGTAATGTGTTACAGTGACCTCATGATACTGTTAACTACCAATATGTGTTACAGCGACCTCTTGATACTGTTAACTATCAATACTATGGTAATGTGTTACAGTGACCTCATGATACTGTTAACTATCAATATGTGTTACAGCCACCTCCTGATATCGTTAACTATCAATATGTGTTACAGCGACCTCATGATACTGTTAACTATCATTACTACGGTAATGTGTTCCAGTGACCTCATGATACTGTTAACTATCAATACTACAGTAATTTGTTACAGTGACCTTATGATACTGTTAACTATCAATACTACGGTAATGTGTTACAGTGACCACATGACACCGTTAACTACCAATATGTGTTACAGCGACCTCATGATACTGTTAACTATCATTACTACGGTAATGTGTTCCAGTGACCTCATGATACTGTTAACTATCAATACTACAGTAATGTGTTACAGTGACCTTATGATACTGTTAACTACCAATATGTGTTACAGCGACCTCTTGATACCGTTAAATATCAATATTACAGTAACATGTTACAGCGACCTCATGATATTGTTAACTATCAATATTACAGTAACGTGTTACAGTGACCTCATGATACTGTTAACTATTAATACTACAGTAATGTGTTACAGCGACCTAGTGATACTGTTAACTATCAATAAAGATGGCTGAATTGGTAAGATATAAAAGTCATTCTTACCCGATTAGTTACAGGACATTGACAATTTGTCAGAGAAGGATCAAGCGACAGGTATGCTGTACAGCGCTCACACCTACAACAAACAATATAAAGCTGATATTCTGATTTCCTGAGCTTAACTTGTTGAAAACAGTAACTGTTTCTCAATAAGATTAAAATAAAGATCTGCTCAACACTGAATTTTTATAGTCTGAAAGAAGAACTCCTAATTGTCAAATTAAGATCAATACTACCGTGTTGTCACTGATAATATTGATGTATCAGTGATATCACTGAGTTGTCACTAATACAATTGAGTTCTCACTATTTAGTTGCCACTGTCAATATTGAATTGTCACCAATACTATTGCATTGTCACTTTTGAGCTATTACTGATACTACTAAATTGTCTCTGGTACTCTGGCATTGAGTTATCACTGGTACTATTGAGTTGTCAGTGATACTATTGAGTTGTCACTGGTACTATTGAGTTGTCAGTGATACTATTGAGTTGTCACTGGTACTATTGAGTTGTCAGTGATACTACTGAGTTTTCACTGGTACTGTTGAGTTGTCACTGATACAACTGATATGTCACTGATACCATTGAGTTGTTACTGATACTAAGGAGTTGTCCCCAATACCACTGAATTGTCCCCAATACCACTGAGTTGTCACCAATACTACTGAATTGACACCAATAACACTGAATTGTCCCAATACCACTGAATTTACACTAATACCACTGAATTGACACCAATAGCACTGAGTTGTCACTGATACCACTGAGTTGTCACCAACACCAATGAACTGTCACCAACACCAATGAATCGTCACCAATACCACTGAATCGTCACCAATACCACTGAGTTGTCACCAATTCCAGTGAGTTGTCACTAATACTCTACCTGTTGCCGACACGGAATGTTGAGTTGGTACACACTCGACAAACTTGTCCGGTTTCCACAATTCTTCCATCAATTTCACGCTCAACTAAAATAAAGAAGAGTAAGTCTTTACATCATCTTCATTGAAAATGTACATAGGTAATACTATCACACTTTGAGCATTTAAAATCTACACAAACTTGGAAAATATGTGTTTGGTACGTAGAAGTTGAATGTTCAGATTGCTTTACTATGATAGTAGGAATATCCCAGTGGTTTTAGTTTACTCAGGTATAACTGTAGTAACATACCTGGTAGGTCTGGACATGCATTACACTTGAGAGAGACTGGATTAAACACTGCATCTGTTGGACAGCTAACACATCTCCAGCCATCCTGGGACCTTGCCTGTGTAAATAGAAAAGTGAACTTAGCCTTTCTATCTTTCCAGGGATTGTGTAACACGCAGCCTTTTATATATCTGTCTTCTCAAATGGAAATCTTTCATTCATAAAAACATCAATATGCATACCCACAAATCAGGTACCACATAAACCTCTGTAATTTGGGCAGGTACTTCTTGGGGTTGAAAATGCTGAAAATATGCTACTAATTACATAATTTATACATCTGATATTGTTGTTTACCTGATTCAGTGGACATTTTTCACACTGTACATTATCTCCACCAAAGTTTGTGATATATTTGAATCCTTCTTTGCACTCACAGTTTAACTCTGCAAAAAAGAGAAAGCATCTGTATCAATTAAGTACGATCTTGATGCATTATGTTGTCTGTAAGTTATTGATGAAAAATACCAATATTTCTTATTTTTGTTTGGAACCCATATAATATAATAACCAAGTAGCTGAAATAAGCATTTCAAACATTTTGTCAACAATGCCAGTACATGATGAGCTTCTTTTCCCTAAATGTTTAAATCAATTTTATATATAAAACAAGAGTATCAGTTAAACAGATAAACACTCCTGAAAACAACATTATTGGAAACAAAATCTTAACAAAGTGCAACAATTCTTTAATTGACGGGTCAATGGCTTTGAATTTGGTACACCTCACATTGTCTTAGTGTGATCAATGTATCTACAAAGTTTCATTATCCTAGTTTAAACGCAAGCAATTTAAAGTTGTGCTCTAAACACAACATTTTGACAAAGGGCAATAACTCTGTAATTAAGGAGTTGCAGGCCCTAAATATTGTACACTGCACATTATCTTAGTAGGATCAATGTATACACAAAGTTTCATTATCCTACTTATATTGCAAGCAAAGTAATGCTCCAGACACAAAAATTTAACCAAGGGCAGTAACTATGTAATTAAGAGGACAAGGGCCCTGAATTGGGTATACTGCATATTTCCTTTGACAAATGTATACACCAAGCTTCATGATCCTTACTTTACTTTGGGCAAAGTTATGCTCCAGACATGAAAGGACGAATGGACAGATGGATGCACAAGATGGTGACTACGTCTGATAAAAATAACCTGAAGTTTTGATCAAACAAAGAAGGAAAATATAAGGATTTTCTAGTTTCATCTGATAAGTCTTGAAAAAGTTTTCCACTCCATGTTCTTTATCTGAGGTTCAGCCCACCACTTTCCTGACTTTTGTTGGAATGTTCAATCTGTATATGATTCATACAACTATTGTAAACTTGCTATTAGCAATAATAAAAACTATTCTTAAACACTTTGCTACTTATCAAGAAGATGTAATACTGCATATAAGCAATCAGATCACCTAGCGAGATCTGTATAATCAATAACAGTTATAATCTCCAATTAGTGACCATGACTAAATGATACAGATACGACTGTAATGATCTAACTAAATGGTTTGTGTTGACGGATTATTCTATGAAATCAACAACTAATATTCATGGAAATTTGGATCAAATAAAGCACATCATATTTATAGAATATATTGGATGAAATTTTACAGAACTATCAGACAAATATTGGATAAACCAATAAAAAAATCAGCTGTAATTTGATGTTAATAAAAAAATAATATATTATTCTGAATATTTTTGTATCTTTATTTTTTCAGTATATCATTTCAATTTAACTATCTTCAATACTGAACAGATATCATTCATTTGCAATCAATTATGTTTGAATAGCATGCTTGGTAAGAAGTTATAGATAACAATAAAATGACATAGAACTATTGTTTTCTCTTAGTGAAAATAAAAGTAAAACTTGCACTTCCAGTTTAGAAAATGATCATCAATGTTGATATCTCATATTTGATTGTTGGGAATGGGTTGCCTTTTCGATTACAATTGGTCATCAGGACAACACTAGCTATATGTAACACTGCTACCATGATCCCTCACTCATAACAACCCTTGTTTTGCTTTCACACTCCATCTGTTTTGTGTCCACTTCTGGTAAGGAAGACACTACTATACTTGTTTATGTACACACACACACACACACACTAGGGAGGTCGGCGACGGTCATTTACAGGCTTATTACGTTCTGTTGGAGCAAAAAACCCCATTTTTTCGGGTTTTTCACACTAAAATTAAAATATCAAATAAGCGTAGTTGGGGGATAGAAATATATCAAAATAAAGTTTAAGACTTCTATTTTCTTATTTTGGTAATTATTTTGTAATAAGATATAAATTCCTACCATTGCATGGAGTTCGAAGTGAAGTCGTTTCCAAAAATTCGGCCGCCATGTTGATTTATGTGTCAACAAGTGTGCCAAGTTCAGAATTAAATCCGCTGGCTATTACTGGACCAATTTTTACCATTAATGGCTTAAAATTTAGGAAATATAGTCTAGTTTTTGAAACTGAGTGATCTCTTTTGAAAAAGTATAGGGATCACACTGTAAAAAATATAAATTTGCAAAACAGTGTTTTTTTACCGTGATATCACTTCGCCGCGAACAGGGATCACTCGGATTATGGTAGCCTGGACCTTCATCTAGCGATTGGTAACCAAGGTTTCAACAAAATAACAAGAGCAGCCAGCGGAAATCATTGGATATTTGAATGACTTTTGCCACAATGTTTTGTTCGTATGAGTTATCGAACTTTGCTGCTGCTGCAGGCCGGGTGCAAATCCTCCCGACCCGGTAAACAAAATTGACCAATGGGACATCAGTATGTCCATTCGGAACATTTTGGGGTTTTTATGTTAAATATCAAAGGAAACATTCGATTTTCTTTAGGATTTATATAAAAGTATGTTTTAGAACAAAAGAAAAAACGGGGGGGGGGAATAGTTGCTGTGGTTAAGAAAATATGTTTGGGGGTATAACAAAAACATTTTCTGAACACAGAACCATACTTTACTTTTCTTAATCTTTTAAGTCACAAATACAAATTATTTTCCATGAAATAAATGAATGAACATTTGATGAGAAAACAATTTTCTCTGTAAAATATCATGATTATACTCCCTCTCAACTAGCCCATTCTTCTTAACTCAGAAAGTTGATTTTGGTCTATATCTTGGTTGTTAAATTCCTTCTGAATGTAAGAACTGCCCTTCTTTATCAATGCAAGGGGGTATTGTTGAAGTGAAAGAAAGTTGTTTTATTTATTTTGTTGAAATTCTTTATATTTTTAATTGTTTTGCTAATTTATGACACTTTTTAAAATCTCTTTTATTTATTTAAGTTTTATTTTACCTTATTTTGGTTTCTTTTTAAGTTGTCAAATTTTTCAGAGGAAGAATAATAATTGTGATTTATTTTATTTAATTTTTAATCTAAATAAATCTTTTTCTAAAAAAAAAAAAATTATTTTGATTTATTTTCTTTTTAGTTTTTTTACACGCTCTGATATACTGATTTTCATTTTATTTTTGGTAAGTGTGATAAGTTTTATTTACAATCCAATACACTTTTTTATTTGCAGTTTGATAAGTATGTGATGATTGTTTTTACTTTTTTTTCAATACTATCAATGAATTAATTAGATAACAATTTTTATGACCGTTAAATTTTAACATTGATGTTAAAAATAACTTATGCTAGATAATGACAGATTTACCTATTTTTTGTGCTTTTATCTTAATCTTAAGGATAAACTTATAAAGACAAGAATAACCGTGTTTCAACTCTTAAGGCTTATAAAAGGTGAACTAATATCAACAGGAACATTTTTTCTCAAATGCTATTGTTTGTAGGAGTAAAAAAAAAATTGGGGGGGGGGGGGGGGTTCACCTTCTGAGAATGTTTGATTTTGGGGTAGGGCTAGGTTTTTATAGAAATACTTGGTGCTGTTAATAGATAGAGGTACAAATATGTGCTAGTTGCATTCTACATATTTCTATCTTTAAAATGATACCTTATACACCATACAATAGTTTATATTCTTCTCGCATTTCATGATTAAACACAAATTTCAGGTTTTATCCAAAATTTTCAAAACGTAGAAAAACAACCTTAAATGTTGCAAAAAATTGTTGTTTTGAGTTAAAACTTGATCATTTGTATGTAGAAATAAGCATTCTTATATAAATTGTCATTTTATTACCACCTGGGAGTAGTTGAAGATCTTTTTGTCCTGAAAAAATGTTATTTTTCGTCTTTTCGGGGCTAAAAATATACCTCTTTGGCAGCTGTATTTTGGAGCTGTTGCTTTCAAAAAAATTTTTTAGGGGAAATATTACATATTTTCTGATAAAACATACAAAGATCAA